TATTTCAACATGACATAAGCACTATAAACTATACACATAAAACAATTCTCGTTTGTAGCCTAAATGTGCAGACGTGGCTTATTGAATTTATAACTGTAAGGCTGAAGGTGTGTGTTTCGCCCCCATGACGCTACTAGGGCCGCCCAAGCTTGAGCAATGTTCATGAGTGTTTGTTTCCAGCACATTTCACTCTGTTCCTTTCTCTCGCTATCCCTCCTCCTCATCCTGTCCCTCGCTCGATCTCTCTTTCAAAGCCACGGATTGACATTTCGCCCGGTCTCTAGAGACGCCGATGGGAAATGGAGTTACTACTGCAGGCACACTGTAATTTCCATACAGCCACATGTTATGTGGCCTAAACACAAGTGACCACTCCAGGATCTGAGTCTGTGGCGATAATAGAATAATGCCTGCTGTTGTCTGGGGAGGCACATCAGTCACGGCGAGGCTTATATCTTGCAGTGTCATCGCGAGAGGCGGCACGCCTCTATATGTCAAAGCTCGACGTCTACAATGTTCGCTGATAGTGAAATGGCACCGTAAAACACAACAGCAAGCCATCGAGAGTGCATAAAACACATTTTTATTTGGTTTCTAGCGATGATGAGAGCTTTATGAAAGGTGGCTCTGGTGAAACAGTATGTGTGTGTGTGTGTGTTATTTACACTCTGTAGTGGAGGAGTCTCAGGCCGGTGTGATAAAGCTAATGAGCTTCTTTGTGCTGGAGTGTAAATGAGACAGTCACCTCGCTTTCGCTATCTGCACGGTAGAGACTCCAGGGGTGATTACTGCTTTAAATTATGCTCAAGGGCAAAGTGTTATTTGCATCAGAGGGGCTTTTATTTGGCTGATGAGCGGCGAAAGCCGTCATCACCCTGCCTGAAGATGTTGCACTCGCAGCTCCCGGTGGACGGCGGGGGAGACGGGCTGTTTGTGTGGCGTCTTCGCGTTACTTTGTTACTTTCCCCTCCTGAATGACAGTCAATGGACCCCTAGAGACGCCTCCTCCCACCTCTTCTGAACGCATGCATGTGTGTTAATGTGTTTGTGGGGTGATGATGGAGTCAGACTCATTGAATATCAATTAGCACACTAGTTTTCCTCTGTTGTGATTCCGTTCATGGTCTATTGTGGGGTATTTTCCAGGTGTTTTCTAGCAAAATAAGTCCTTTTTAGATCATTTGTTTTCCGTGGACACCCCCTCCCTCCTCCCCAAGTGGTTCCCTCGACTGCGACACTACCTCCAATTTCATTTGCTCTTAAACCTGAAGAAGACGGGGAAAATATGGCTGACACTGGCTGTCAGGCGTCTCATCTTAAATTCTCCTCAAGCTAAAATGTCGGGTTAATTGCTGTCATTTTTACATCGGGCCAGCGACTTACACACCGCTTCCTGTAACAATTGCTGTTAGCAGAGGAAAAATATATAAAATGAAAAGTGTCCTGTGCATCTGGACACACCACTCATAAATGCATAGAAGTGTGGCTAATAAAAAGCACAGAAAACAACAGAAATATAGAAATTACTGCAAAATTCTAATGGATGAAGGTGAAATAAATTAAAATGACGCTTTTTTTTTTTTTTTTTTTTTTTTTACTTATCCTCTCCAGACAGGAAGTTCATTTTTTAGAGTATGGCTAACCACACTATAAATCCATACGATCGCATATTATTAAACCAGGACAATCATCTAGACGGTCCATTATATCATATCACATTATCTACAGATCAATGCAAACCTTCTTGTATACATGCACTACTATTAATATAACAACATTAAAAGCTCATTTAACAACAGCCCACAATCAATGAAGTCCATGTCCTTGGCAACCATTCTCGTCACAAACACTAATTCCATTAAAAAGGTTCTTATTACAAAAAATAGCTAAAACACACCATAAAAGTTCATGCTTAATTGTGCAAATCCTGGATTTAGTGCCTTAATCAATAATGAAAATTGAAAGGAAAATAAATAATAATATTAATAATTCACGGGTGTTTTTTTTTCCTTAGTAAGAAAGTTTGGCAATGCACAAAAACATTACTAATACTTATTTTTAATTGGAATCTGTCATCTTTCTCTAACACACATTATTAGGCAGATGTGTAGTAGGAATTCTCTGACTGTGGCGTGTGTGAGAGGGAACTGTGCAGGAAGTGTGTGAAGTTAACAGCACCTGGCCTCCCTTTAAAAAGCCTCCCGAGGCCTGTTAGCTGGCCCACTCATTTCAATGTGTCTGTCTGTGCTCTCTCGCTCGCTCTCTGTACGTGAAACATTGTCACTCTCTCCACTGTCTCTATGGTACTTATCTCTCCTCTCTTCACTCTTTCTGCTTACACTGCCCTTTTCTTCCACTCTTAGTGCGAATTATCTACAGACAGATAACACAAAATTTATTCAAGTAAAATCCAGCTGTACAGGAATAATATTACTAACTGTTATTACAAATTATTAACAATAACTTTCGTGCAAATGAAATTTTACTATTCAATCTTTTTTAATAACGTTATTTGTTATTGTTAAACTATTTAAGACTATTAGCAAGTAGTAACATACAAATTTAATTTTACAATTTATTCATTTAATATAACAGTATGTGTTATTGTTTAACTATTTATGACTATTAGCTATTGTTTAACTAATAAGTAATACTATTATAATAATAAACAACTTTAGATGCTTTCGTATTGTGATGCTTAATCTAATCTAATGTTGCGATATAAAAGCTATTTAAAAATAATTTTTTTTAGTTATACATATATTTATATTATATACATTTATATTTATAATAATAATAATACTTTTTTACTATTTCTAATTCTGTTTGTTTACTTAATAATAAAATAAAACTTAACAATATTAAATACTGTTAAAAAGTAATAATAATTAAAACAATGATGATGATTATTGATAAACTACTACTATTAATAATATTAATAATAATAATAATAATAATACTTAGATTAGATGCTTCTGAATTGTACAGGCTTTGTACAGTAGCCAGCACAAGACTCATTTATTAATTTGTGAAATAATTTATATGAATTTACATTTTTGTAATTTATTTTGTAATAATAATTTAGATTTATACAAATTAAAAAGTCAATAACCGAATTTATATTTGTATACTGTAAATTGTACTGTTATATAAATGTATATTAACATGACAATTTTTTACATTTCTAATTGTTTATGTTTACAGTATTATGAAATATATAAATATATACAAATATATGTTATATAAAACATCTATTTTACATTCATTTTAAATTACAATAAGTAATTCAAAATTATTAGATTTATTTATATTTAAGTCTGTTAATAATATATTTATTATAACAAATAAATGCATATGTATTTATTTTTAATATACACATTTAAAATGAATATAAAACTAAAATATAAAATATAAATATTTCAATAGGTTTAAAATAATAATAATAATAAAAAATCATCATCATCAACTACTAACAATTCACAAATCTGAACTATAATCAATAACGTCTTTGATACAAGTTTCCAAAAACACGTTTGAAGAGCACACCGTTAACCACAAAACACTGCTCATCTCGATCTCGCACACAGTGAAGAGTGCAGGTTAAAACAGAAGTCAGTAATGAGAAAGCGGGGGGATTGACCCCAATCAGACACGTGTGTGAGACACACACAGAGAGAGAGAGACGGCCAGTGTGATGATGAATGGGAGATGGGGGTGCTGTTGTAATCACCAGCTGGAGAGGGTGGCCAGGAGGGGGGTGTTCCAGGGGCCCACAAAGAGCCGCGGGACACACTTCACTCTGCTACACTGATCCTGTCTTACCCACAGGCTCATGGGCTGCTTTCAGCTGCTGGCAACAGGACTGAGCCACTCACACACACACACACACTCACTCACACTGTAATTTAATAGCTATAAACTTCAATATGAAACAAATACAAGCTTATTAAGGACAATCAGGCACACACACTCACACACACACACACACAAACAAACAAACAAACAAACAAACACACATACTTGTCATTTAATACCTATAAACTTCAAGATGAAACAAATACAAGCTTATTTAGAACATTGAAATCAGGCACACACACACACAGGCACACAAACAAACACAAACACACACACACATACACTGTCATTTAACAGCCATAAACTTCAAAATGAAACGAATACAAGCTTATTTAGAATAATTACATCTAAATTAAAAAAAAGTCTAAAAATATGTATTACAAACTAAAATTCTAAATATAACCAAGAAATAAAAACAAACTTTTTTATTGGCGTTCTTTAAGCATTTTTTGAATATAACAACTCACATGACGACCAAAGTGTTGAAAAAGTAATTGAAATCCTTGAAAATCATACAAATAATGACTGAGGATTCACAAATTCTGTTTTCACAGACACAGTGACACACTCGAGAGTGAATAAGTGAACACACACACACACACACACTCCACACACCGCCCACAGACTCTCCCTGAGCTCAGCCTGACCTCACGCTGCTCTTTTGGTGAGCTGTCAGACCCATCATTCACCGCACCGAGACGCACGCATATACATCAACACACAACACTTCTGCTTTTACAAGTCAAAAATAATCAAGCATATATATGCAGACAGAAATACAACACGCGTTGGTCAGTTGAGCTTTCCGGAGATGCCTGGCAGCCCATACAAGGAGGAGGCCCTCTAGTGGCCACAAAACAAAGACACACAGTACTCGGCACACTTCTCCAACAGATTCACCAACAAACACTGCCCAGATTTCTGCACAAAGTCTACAAATGACATCCGAAAACTGACCACCACGATAACTAAGAAATAAAAGTCCAGTTCCAGTGTAAATGCACACAACTGAAGGGTGTCAGTCAAATAGCAGCCTGCTGAGTCTAGTGTGAAGCCTGTGAGAGAGGGGGAGAGAGAGAGAGAGAGAGAGAGAGAGAGAGCGAGCGTGGCGGATGACAACGGACGGGGGGAGAGACGTAACTTACCTGCTGTTGTTGCAGATGCAGCAGCTCGACTGCGCTTACTTCACCGCTCGTCTCCCCACTTGATCTTCCATCTCTACTGCCAGCATCTAATTGGCTGCTTAGGCTGCTCATTCCATTTTGACTCATTGAACTGTTGCTTATTGTCTCATTGGCCGACTCCTGCATCATGACTTAATACCTAGAAGTGATTAAGAGGCACCGGTTAAGGCTCTTGTTACAATCCCCTTTAAAAAAAGGGGGGGTAAAAAAAGAAAAATGGGGGCGAAAAAAAAAAAAAAAGCTTTCCATTATCAACCCCTGCTCCCTTTGCAAATTAAAGCATTTAAAGGGGGGAGGGGGTGGAATTATGCATTCACTGTGTAAATGAAGCAATACAAAGAGATGCACGATTGCACGTTTCTTCCTGCCTTTTATTTTATATTTTCCTTAATGAATGCTTTTTTGAATTGTGTTTATTTTTTTTGCATTTCGACCATCCCACACAGATAAACATCACAAATGGAGTTTAAATATAAATTATAGGCACATGTTTGAAATATCCCATGTTTTTTTTTTTCCCCCCTCTTAAAATATCCCCGTTGCGTCTCGACTGAACGGAGTTGCTTAATGACGCACAGCTAATCATGCAAAATTAAAATTTGGTACAGGAGGTGTGGGGAGAAGAGGGGGAATTACAAATCACATGCTTCTGTACTGTGATGAACGATATAATGGTCTTTTCTTTTAGCTGGAGCAAAATAAAAATCGCCTGCTAGTCAAATGAGGAGGAAAAAAAAAAAAATCTTATGTCACATATAGGGTAGTTCTGTTCTTTCCCTCCCTTTTATTTTAATCACATACTCAAATATTCATTACTTCCGTATATTTAGTGGCGTCCGCCGAGCGCAATTAAAATTCAAACAGAGCAAAAATCGTCAATTTTTTTACCCAGGCAAATAAATGAAAAGATATTAAATTAATTTTCACTGGCATCTATTGGAAATCAAAACAGAGGAGAGTGGTGGATGCAAAAAAAAAATAAAAAATCACGAATATCACTAATGATTGTGCTAAAACAGCATAAATTATGCATATTACCTCTTCTCTGGTAATAAATGTTTTATCATTTTCCCTGCATAAATGTTGTGTACGTTCACACGGACCCTGGCAAGATCTGTAATAAAAGAACCGTCCGACCCAACAAACTCAATTCAAGGTGTGTTCTGCATAGCTAATACACCCACAAGAGCCTTAATACACACACACACACACACAGAGACACCCGATCTCCTCCGTCATTCACAGATTCATCGAACCCCCCTCCTCTCTTCCCCTCACACATTTTGTTTCTCTCAGAAAATGATGACAGGCCGTCTCATATTTCAGCGCATTCAAACATAAACAATATTAATTACGCTAACGCACAATAAAATATCCCTAATCTCGTGTAATGTTTAGAGGGGATTCGTTTTTCCTGCAACACTTTCATTTATTTCCCTGACAGCTCCGCCATCCTTCTTTCCACAGATTAAACACATCAATTTTGTCACCTGCTACGTACGGACAATTAGCAGCGATCTTTGAACGAGAGTGTACAGTAACTCGACAGCCGAGCCACGGGGAAAAAAAAGAAAGAAGAACGCCGCTAATCAAACGCACGACACAACAAAGACACAGTCTTCTAATCCACGGCTGCTTTTCAGATCAGCGAATTACATTTTAACGGCTCGGCTCGCGTTTTATGACAAACAACAGACGCAAAAAGATTGTACATTTATTTAGAAAGTACACCACTGGTCAAAGAAGTGCAGAAGAATAACAGACAAGGAGAAAGAGAGAAAGAAGCAGACACACACACACACACACACAGTGTGAGTGCTGACGAATCTCTCCTGAAGAAACACAAAGCTGCCGTAGAGATTAGGCGACTAATAAGTATTCAAATTAGGCATAAATTTTACATGCCCAATGTTTAAAATATTCAGAGAAGGGCCTCCTGATTGCCTTTACGCGAATTTTATGAACAACGTAATGGAGTGTTTTTTAATGCCACAATGAAGGAGACTAAAAAAGTAAGGCATGAGTTTAGGACACTAATTAAAATTACATTTCGGATCACCGTAATCCCGGTTTTCACTCTAGAAAATCAAATATGACTTCTATGAAAAGACAACCTGATTATTCCCACATGTTTTGAATTAACCAAAGAACAGATTACATTTTGATGTAGGCTACTATTTGAAGAAAAAAAAAAATCTTTTTCACTTCAAATTTGGTTTTGCGTTTAATGACGCGGAATACTGATCCTGTCATTAAAGAAACACACATTATTAACACTGTATCCTCTAAATCCACATGATCCACAACTGGCGTGTAGGTGTCTAACCGAACGTAATGCTCATGCAGATGTATGCAAAGTGTATTCAGAGAGATCAGGTGCTGCTTTAACCTTAATGACAGCGGTGAGATAAATTAATTAGCCATCTGAAGGCAGCATCCAAATCTGCCAATTACAATGTCAATTAGAAACACATCCTCGCTCGCGATCATGGCGCGGACGCGAGGAGGGTGGGTGCGTGAGTGAAGTCTAGTACGGGACTGTACCGCCAGCACCCAAAGTCAGTCTTCATTCTATTGCGTGACCCTCGTTTCTCCGTCTCTGACCCTTGAGATCGAACGCCTGTCACTTCTACAACACACTTGGTTTTCCATAAAAACCCACTGGGGTCGAGGGTTTGTGCTATTGGAACAATATTTACAGCCCTCGCCGTCCTCCTAGTGTGGAAAAGCTCCGGTCCATTTGACACCGGAAAAATTGGACGAGCCCTAAAACACATTTCAGTGAGTCGCTGTGATAAACACACAGCTTGTGAGCCGTTATTACCCGTATCATCTTGATAACAGTCATAATCTAAAGGAAAATCTGTATTCGGGAAGGTGTATAAAAACCAAATCGCTCCATTTCTGGAATAAAAGATGTTGTTTGGATCTTTTTGTGTGTGTGTGTGTGTGTGCTTTAAACGCTGTAACAGTACCAGGCGTGCGATTCCTTTCTGGCTGTGCAAATGTTTGCTCTCGAATCGTAGGCTGTGCAAATCTGTCCTTTCCATCAGGTGAAAAATCCCAGACAGGATCCTGACAACACATTCAAGGGCTACGCCTGTGATTTCGGGTGGGTGGGTAAGCAAAGAAAGGTGTGGGTAGAGAAAGCCACAAATATAGCCCAGATGTTTCTCATACACACACACACTCCTCATCATGAAGGAGTAAAGTTACTCATGCTTGTTTGAGCTGATCTGATTTTACAACCGCGAATGTTGCCTCATTATCAAACGCAGCACCCTTCTTATCGGGGCTCGGATATCAATTCTAAGTTGGCGCTCGGAAACCGCGGGACGTTTTATACAAGTCGCTGAAAAGGGGCACCAGAGGCTGCAACTGTGACATTAACACACACACACACACACACAGAGAGAGAAATCATCCACTTCATTTTCCCCCTCCCCTGATAGGACGAGCAGAACAGACCTGAAAAAGAGCTTGATGATTATTTCAGGGAGGCATAGGAAAGGCAGACTCTGTGATCCAAGAAGACTAGTCATTATCAGTGCATTGCTCAGGTGCCCAGAATCCTAACATTGCAAGGAAAAAAAATACAAAAAATTACATTTCACAGTCTGCTAGCTTCACTCGCTCTGATTCAGTTAAGATATGGATACCATTTAAAATAATCACAAATTCTGTGCTCCACTGAAATTAATTCATCATTGCCATAAGTTACAACGCATACAAAATAAAGCAGCGCGGCGCTCCACTATTCTCAATATTTAACAGTCAGGAAAGCTTAATAAATCAAAATGGCAGATTTCAAAAAGTTGGAATTTCAGCACGTGACATGGAGGATATGATCATTAAACACCTAAAAAAAATGCAGTCTTAAAGTGAAACAACGCATGCCAGCAGTCCTTTTTGGCCGTATAGCGTTAATGACTCTCCTCTAAAGCTGAATGTAATATTACAGACCCCCTCTTCTCAGTCAGAGGGATTTCAAAGTGATTCACAATGGACGAGATTACGGAGTAAAAAAGAGCAGGAGGGAAATCATATTTATACCACGAGTTCAAAAAATGAAAAGGGAGGATGAATACATCGCTTTTCAGGATTAATAGTATGCAAAGTAAGCGAATCAAGTGTTGTTATCGGTGGTAAAATGAGAACACATTCAAGAAATAAAAGATAAATAGACCAGCTGTGATTCGATTCAATGTTCAGAACTTAATTCTGGGCTATTGACATTAAAAGAAGGAGACTGAGGGGACAAAAATTCAACACACACGGTTCATAAATGCTAAACACAACAAAGCCGGAGATTCGGTTCAGATTTTTCCAGCGCTTCCGAAAAGAAAAAAAAAAAAAAGGGAAAGTGAGTGTTTCAAGTCTTTCCATTTGATTCAAATTTTACCCAGCAAGCACCTCCCTCTCCGAACGTGGGTGACAAGACAGTGACGCTGGTATCTCATCAAGCAGTCCCTGCGCTTGCATTTTGGGTAATTTCTTTAATTAACTCAACCCACCTAATCACCAGTAATTGACCTATAAAAGTAGGAGGCCCCATTGTCTGCTCCAATCGGAGACAGTCTCTCCCTCACTATTTGTCCGTCTTCTTTCACTATTTACCTGCTTCAAAACGCATATTTCATTTCATTTGGTGCCGCAATTATCCTTCGTGACACCGGCTGCGTGCGAGGCGAGATTAAAAGGCTTGGGGTGGAGGGGGCAAGCGTGCTCGCCCCTGCCCGGGACACGCGGCCGCGTTAACGACCGGGACGGCCGCCACACAGACACCGACTCAGAGAGACATAGCTCATGGTGACGTTTCCACTTATTTGAGGCTGATTAGGGTCATTATGTCCCACTGCTCTGATTTATGTTGTCATTCTTTCGGCCTGGTCCTGCATCGATAGATCTTAATGAATTGGTAAATAAGGGTGAAGATTACACTTGACAACACCGCAACATTTCTCATTCATACCCGACAAGATTTATGTAACCAATTAGGGCGGTAACAGGCGAGATTGGTCGAGAGAAAAATAATCTTTCCCGAGGAAAATTACCCAGAGTCTAAAACCTCGACAAAATAGATAATGGGCAGTCTTTAAGGGAGACTTAGTCACAGAGCGAGAGCCTGGGCTGAAGGGT